CCTCCCTCCCTCCCTTCCTCTGTCTCTCTGTCTCTCTGTCTCTCTGTCTCTCTCTCTCTTTTTTTTTTTTGCAAAACCGAGGATCGACCTCAGGCCCTTACGCTTGCTAGGCAAGCGCTTATTCTACTGAGCTATCTCCCTGGCCCTTTTTTGTCCCTTTGAGACAAGGTCTCACGATGCAGTTTAGGCTGGCCGTGAGCTCACTTTGTAACCCATGTTGGTTTCAAACTCACAAACGGTCTTTCTGTCTCAGCCTCCAAAGTGCTGGGATTATAGGGCAGCACACCTAGCATAAGCATTCCTTCAAATGGTTAAAAATAGTTCATGTGATTTACCAGTTCCACTTGTAGGAATGCATGCAAGAGAAATGAAAACACGTCTGCACAAAAGTTTTTTTCTTTTTTGAAGAGAGGGTATCACTAAGTTTTGGGGTTGGCTCCAACTTGAAATCCTCCTTTCTCTGCCTCCCAGGGTGCTGGGTTTATAGTTATGTACCACCATGTCTGGCTCTTAAGAGCTTTTATAGGAATGTTCATAGCATTATTCATAACAGCCAAAAAATAGACACACCTCAAATGTCCATCAACTAAGTAGTGGATATATTTATGCAGTGGTGCTTATGAGATGTCCGTGAAGGCAGATCTGGAGAGAGAGGTAGACTAGAGGTTGTGTAGGGCCGGGGCACTGTGAAGTGCAGATTGGGAGAGTGGCTAATGGGGGGTACAAGGTTTCTTTTTAGGGTGAGGAAATGTAATTATAATCTTAACTTTGCATTTACCAATTGTGTACTTGAGGTGAATTGTGTGGTGTATGATTATTTCTCAGTATTGCTGTTAATTTTTTAAATGTTGGCTAAAACACAGCCCGATCATCTTTTCTTGGCACTGTGAATTCATTAGCTGACAATTGTCAGGTTCTCAGGAGAACCCAGATGTTGGCAAAAACTGCAGGGAGTTCAGTGGCAAGCTTGGCAGGTAAACATTTCCTCTTGGTTGAAATCAGAGTCGGATGGTGAGAGAGCGTGCTCAGCACAGCCTTGGCACCCTTGGCTGCGTTTTTCTCTGGGAGACACAGAGGTGGCACACACCTGCGGAGGCAGAAGCAGCTGGCTGCATCCTCTCTCGTCTTCCTGGCTAGAGGCTTGTTTGAGGCACTCCCTATATGTATTTTTTGATGCATTGATTATTTTTTCTCCTTTGAACCAAAAATGAACAGTACTGTGCCATCTAGTTAACCCATTGTAAGGGCCAGTGAGATAGCTCAGGGGTCTAAGTGCCTGCTTAGGCAAGTACATGGACCAGGGTTTGATCCCTGGCACCACATGCTGTTCTGGCCCTGCCCCTGGGCACACTGATTGGGCCACTGAGTCTGGGCATGGTGGTTCACGCGCTGGGGAGGCTGAAAACAGGAGGATCACTACAAGTCTGAGCTGCATAGTGAGACCCTGTACCAAATACATGAAAAAAGAAGTTGTAGTCTGGGCATGTAATGAAGTGGTAGAGGGCATGCCTAGGGCATCCAAGCCCTGGGCTCAATGCTCGGCACCACCAGAAAATAAAAAGTTAAAACACTGTCAGGTCTTTATCTTGATGAAGATACGGAACCCCCTTGATCTTTTTTTCTGCTGGCAGAGTCTTTACATTATTCAAGCAGCTCAGTATTGTACCTTCTTAGGTTCTCTTGTTACCATCCGGCTTAGGTGTGAGTTGGGGCCTTTCTCAGGCCTGGGCAGGATAGCGTTTCATGAGGGAGACTCCTAGAAGCCCAGTCTGTGGAGCACAGATAGGCTGGCTAGATGAGGCTTGGCCTTAAGGCTGGGCTCTGCAAAGAGCTGGCTGCCGAGGGAAGCGCAACAGCTTTCTGCTAGTATTACGTGAAGGCGAGGAGTGGTGGTGGTTCCTGTCTGAGGCAGAGAAGTGGAGGGAGAAGGCAGGAGCCAGTGCTGCAGAGGGTGAGTCGCGTGGGGTTAGTCTTTACTATTCTTGGGGTTTTGACCCTTTTGAGGGTCTGGTAAAAGCATTAACCCCATAGAAAGAGACACATACACAGTGGAGTTGACGTATAATTTTAGGAAGTTTGGATACCCCGAAGTAGGACTGTAGGCAAGATGTTCCATTATATGGAATTGATAGCTCTTCTCCTTCATAGAAAGTATCCACATACTGTTAAAATGATGGGCAGTTGGGCCAACCGGATAGCTCAGCAGATTAAAGCATCTGCAAGCAGGAGCAGGGGCCGGGGGTTCGATCCCTGGGCCTGCTGTGCTGGGTGTGCTGAGATGGCAATCGAGACTGGGCATGGTGGCGCACGCCTGTAATCTCAGCTCTTTGGAAGATTGTAAACAGGCGGATCACTACGAGTCTGATCTAGCAGCAAGACCTGAACACCCTATAGACCCTTCCCTAAAAAAAAAAAAAAAAAAAAAAAAAAAAGATGGGTAGTAATGAATTGGGGCTGCACTCTAAGACTTGGTGTTTATAGTAACCTGGGGGAGGGAGTTGTGAACATAAGTATATGAACCTCAAGTGAAAATTTTCTGATTGGGAGTGCTCTATTGATGCCCTCAAATTACTAGATTTGGGCTGTCTCTCATGGGGTCACAACAGAGACACATGAGATTAAAATTGTTCCCTGAGTTTCTTAGATCATGATGATGTTCAAGTTTATGAAGGGCTTTTGGGCAGTCAGTGGGTGGGCCTGAAACTGCTCTTTTGAACAATATTTATATCTAGGAATTCATAAATTTAGTTGTCCTTGACCGAATGCCTGCCATTGTCCTAAGTGTCCTGCTTACCTCCTTTCACCCCATGATTAACCCTTTGCCCCATTCCCGGTGAGGAGATGGAATGTGAGCAGGCGGTGTGGGCCACACGAGGCCATGTGGCTGTGAGCGACACTGTGATTATCACTCACCCTGCACGCTTTTCTTGTGCTTCGGATGTTTGGAATTTTATCATAGAATCAATAAATCTACAGGCTCATGAGAATCTGTTTAGTCGGGGTATACTGGAGGTACAAAACTGTCCTGTAGCAGCCCTTTCCCTGTTGAGTGAGTGATAGCGGGGTAGCCAAAGCTAAATGTGCAGCAAGCTACATCCCTAACCTTCTTATTTCTTACTGTGAGACAAGATCTCCCTGAATTGCCCAGGCTGGGTTTCAACTTGTGATCCTCTTGCCCCAGATTCCAGATGCTGGGATTACAGATGTACACCATCGTTCCCCCATCTGTAGAAGGTCTTTTTTTAAAAAAAAAAAAAAAATGTGGCTTTGTAGTACTAAAAGAAAAAATTCTCTACCCAATAAACAGTAATCATTTGGACAATAGGTGGGAGTTCCTCATTTCTGGTGGTTCTCAAGTTAGGAACCAAACTACCACCTTGCCTGAATGAGTGTGATTCTTCACCCTTTGGTGCCAGCGGTAGGCTGCTTTCCAGGAGAAAAATATCAGCTGTTGTGTTGAAATTAGCGGCTATCCGAGTAACACCTCAAGAACTCCTGACTGGGAGTAGAAAATAAGCTAGCAGTTGAAAGCTGAAGCCAAGTCATGAGCTGCTGAGGAGCGGCGGGGCTGTGGTGCAGCACTTCTCTGTGGGGGCACATCTCGGCTTCTGTGGTGCTTTGTAAACACATTGTCCTGCACCCCATTGTGGACTCTTGGTGGGACACCCGCTGTGCAGATGAAGCTCCCCTGAGTGCCCTGGGGCCCTTTTGCCCCTGGCTGTCCTTACATAATCAGGTGCCTCACCTCTGGGGAAGAGCAAGGCACCTGCACACTCTGCAGTTGCAGCTTCAAATTATTATTATTATTATTATTAGTAGTAGTAGTAGTAGTAGTAGTAGTAGTAGCAGCAGCAGGAGTATCTTTGTCTTTTTTTTTTTTAAGACAAGGTCTCACCATGTAGCCCAGGCTGGCCTCGAACTCTCATGAGCCTCCTGCCTCAGCCTCTGAAGTGCTTGGGATACTGGCGTGTGCTGCCGAGCCCGGCTAGCTTTAGCTTCTGATGAGGGGGATGAAAGACAAGCAAATCTTGAAGTCCCTGGGGCCGTCCAGGGCATTTTTTATTCTTTTTTGTTGTCATTGGTCATTTAATTGTTCACAGAAATCACGAGCTTTCTCAGCAATTTCTCTAAACTGGTTGCTAACGTGTCCGCGGTTCCCTTGCAGTGGTGGTGAACCTGTGGCCTGAGTGCCACAGCCAGCTGCTTGTCATCATTCAGAGCTCTAAATTCAGCATCACTGTATGTAAACGCTAGTGTGAGAGTCATTCGGTGATGACAGAACCATCCGCTGAGTGCTGCCTTCTGCGTCCTGTGTGTGTCCTGCCAGTGCAGGACAGGACAGGGCCGTGGGGCCTTGCTGTGGGCCTCCCCAGTGCCCCTGTGCCCTAAGGCCCCTGTGCGTGGCTCCTCCCTCCCTCCAGCCAGCTTCTTCCTCTCTGACTGGTTTAGACACCTGTGCTCTTCGAGGCCTTGATCATGCCGGCCTTGTGCTCTTTATGCTCAGGTCTTTTTTTAAAAATAACATTTATTCATCACTTTCTGTTGCCAAATTCTGTGATAAGCACTTTCCCCCATTCTGTCATTTGTGATTGTTTTGTTTGTGTCGTGCTGGGGATCAAGCCCAGGACCTTGTCGTGCTGGGCTGGTGCTCTGCCCGAGTTTCGTCCTCAGCCCCCTGGGCAGCTTGGCGCTGCAGGCCTGATGTGGCCTCGGGGGTGAGCGCTTCCTCATCAGTCACATTGCCTGTGACGTATTCATCCTGGTGCCCTCACTGTCTAAAATGATTTTGTTTAGCTGTTCACTGTGTGTCGGGCTCCAGGAGAGATGTCTGTCTTTCTGTCTGCTGCAGGCCCCAGCATCCGGAGCAGTGTCTGGCCTGGAACAGAAATGCCGGCAGGGAATGCTTAGGGCCGCACACCCTCCCACTCTGCCCTAGCCTGAGGCAGAGCTGGGTTTGTGTCATTTTCTGTGGTGCTGGGAGCTGAGAACTGAGGGGTTTCTGTGCCTTCTGAGGCCTCCATGCTGCTGTGTTCCCACGGAGCTTCCCCTTGCCCACGTGTTAGAGGTCAGGATCCAGCAGTTGCTTGGGAACATGTGTCCACAGGCTCAATTAGAGAGCAAATGAGTCCTTTGGATTAGAGTTAATTTTATGGTCCTTCAAACAGTGGGATTTCTCTTTTCTAGGCAAGAACTGTATCCTGATACCCTGGGGTATAAGCGATAGCTCTGTTAGAAGCCCTGTTTGTCTTGTTCCTGGCTATAGAGAAGAGTAGTCTGGGTACAGACTTTGGGCTGTCTGTCTGACTGACTGCCAGAGATGTGTATAGGCCCTGTCTGGCCAGAGGACACTTTTGTAAAGCTTCTGAAAGGTTCCCTCAGGCCCACAGCGGCCTTCCTAGGGGAACTTTGAGAATCTGCTGCTGCTCAGACCTTCTGTGACAAGCACGGATTTGCATATAATTTTGAAGGGGACAAGAACCTGCTGAATGCCATTTGTGGGCCCTACACTTCTGTCTGGGGATTTAGGTTGGCTTGTTCCTCCATCTCAGCTTGGGTCCTAGCTCTTCACAGCTGTTTCTTTCTGACTTGGTCTCCTGTCTTCTGTGCCCTCCTTTGTTTTTCTAATAACCTGCGGGACCCTCTCAGGCCCAGAAGAGGCGATACTCTCCGGGAGTCCAGGTATTCAGTTCTTGATCTACTGTGGCCATCCCTCTTCCCACTTGTCACCCAACATCTGTTGCTGCCTAAGGTCCCTGTGACTGTTGTCCCAGGAGGCCCGATCCCTGGTCCTGACTGCATCACCACCTGCATGTTGAGTGTGGGACAGTGGGGAACTCACCCAGGAGTGGCATGCCTCATGTACCCTTCCTCCATCCCTGCCCCTCTGCCTGCCTGGCGCCGGGCCTGCTCTGGACAGTTGGCTCATCATGTCTGGAAAGAGCTTGGCCCTCTGGCACTGCTGTGGGGAGAAGGCCTCTGAAGTAGGTGGGAAGCTGAGCTTTCCTCCTGTGGGGCACAGCCTGCCCCTCACACCCAGCACTGTTGGAGGAGTTAGGTATAGGAGGCAGAAGTGACCAGGAAGGGCGCTTGACTAGGAGCACAGTCGCTGAGCTGGAGAAGCCCCTCCAGCAGCCACAGTGGCAGCGCCTTCCGAGTGCTGATCCACTTAGCACCTAGGATTTGAAACTTGAGAGGTGCTGTCTTCAGTAGAAAGATAGCCCTGCCCCAGCAGATGGCTCAGAATATTTGCAGTGTGCAGAGCAGCCTTGCGTGAGGGAAAGGACAAGGCTAAAGTGGAGATGGGAAGGGGCCAGCCACACGATTTGTTTCCCAAGAGGTGGGTGGGATGTAGGTTTATAGCCTTAAAAGGACCCCACTGGTATTGGGCAGGGTAGGCTTGCTATAGGGCTTTCTGGGAGGAGCAAGGCAAACTCCAGTGTCTTCCGGGGCTCTTCAGGCCCGGGTCAGGAATGAGGAGGGTCGTCATAGGCAAGTGTGGAACTAAGTGGCTTCCTGGGCCCAGATCCCTGAGTGACCACTGGAATGCGGGTACTCGGGGTTTCGGGTGAGCAGAGTGGCTGTTGGGGCCGCTGTGCGGGGCTCGGCTTGTGACCTGCAGAGTGCTGTCACTGCTCGCAGCCCTGCAACAGGCTCTTCCTCACTGGCTGCTCCCCCTGCATCCTAGCGGGTGTTCCCCTACATCTCTGTCATGGTGAACAATGGCTCCCTCAGCTATGACCATGAGCGTGACGGGCGGCCCACGGAGCTGGGGGGCTGCACAGCCATCATCCGCAACCTCCACTACGACACCTTCCTCGTGATCCGCTATGTCAAGAGGCATCTGACGGTGAGCCCCCAAGGGACCAGGCGCCAGGCCGTCTCCCTCCTCTCCCAGGCCTGCCCTATTCTGCTCTTCCTCTGTCCTAGATCATGATGGACATCGACGGCAAGCACGAGTGGAGAGACTGCCTGGAGGTGCCTGGTGTCCGGCTGCCCCGTGGTTACTACTTTGGCACTTCCTCCATCACAGGCGACCTCTCGGGTACGTTCTGGCATGCTCCCCAGTATTTCCCCTTCTCTCAGGTGCCAGCCCTAGTCAGCCCCTAAAGGGGAGGCAGGTGGACAGGGCGCAGGGGCCTGTACTTTCTCATGCAGTTGGGTGCAGGAGGTGTTAGGTGCCATCACAAGTCAGCCAGCACTTCCAGCCTGTCCCTACTGCCATCTGCTGTCAGGCTTCCCTCCACCTGCTGACATGCCGAGAGCTCCTGGTGTTGCCAGAACGGTGCCCAGCTTGGCCATCCCCTAACTGACCCCAGGCTCCCACCCTGCTCAGTGACACGACGACTTTGGGGTGCATTGTGTGCACAGAGGCATCTTTTTCCCAGCAGTCCCCCGTTTCTCAGGCCTTGCCATTCTCCCTGTTTGTCAAAGTTGCCTGTCCGTTTTGCTGCACACAGTGCTCTGTGCTGAGCTTCGCCCTCTGTCCCCTCTTCTGTTCCTTTAAGTAATTGCTCTAACGCTTGGCTACCTTCACGATGGGACACCTCTCCACTTTCCCACCACCTCTGCTTTCTCTCTGTGTGGTGCCTGATTCATAGCTTCTCTTTGTCTGCTTGGTCTCTGCCTTGGCTTTTGCCCCAGTCAGAAAGTCTGTTGGGAAGAGATAAGGGAGGTAAGGGTTCTTCTGATTAACATAATTTATCATGGATAAAACTTGTTTTAGAAATAGTTAATTTTCCAGTACAGGCCTTCACACAGAGCTACACCCTAGCCCTTTTTTATTTTTAAGACCTGCTCTCCCTAAGTCTCTAAACTGCCTAAGGTAGGCTCAAATTTGTGATCCTCCTGCCTCTGCCTCCCCTCTGCTGGAATCGCACGTGTGTGCCACCGTGCCAGCTTGTCCCAGGCTTTGAGGGCCCTTTGTTGTGAGAGTCATTACTCTGGATTTTATTTTGCCCATGGCTTAAGTGAGCTCTATAGCTAAAACATTTTTCCAAATGAAGATGAACGTAGCATTCACCATCTGGGGTCTGCTGAAGACCCTACTAGTACACTACTGTGGCTAATACCCTAATGATGGAAATGACCAGAAATCCTGGGCCCAGCAAGGACCCTCCCCCACCAGCACACACATTTGTGGTCTCATGCCGCCACACCCCGCTGAAAGGAACAGAACTCCCTCGAGGAATGGCTCATGCCACGTGTAGGCAGGAGATGTGCGAGCCAGGACAGTCCCAGAAAAGCAAGGAAAATATGAAAAGCATCCACGCTCACGTGAAAATCCTCAGGAGCCACCGTGAACAGGCTCTTGCCTACAAAGATCAGTTGAGTTGAATGTCAGTGAAATCTTGCAGCTTTGAGAAACAGAAAAAAATATTTAAATGTATGGCTGTATTATTTTATGTATTTTTTTGTATATGTGGTATTGGGTGTCAAACTCAGGACCTTGCGCTGTGCTCTGCCGAAGCAGGCGCTGTAGTCCTCTGAGCTATCTGGCTGGCCCTTATGTCTACATTTTAAAACTATCTGGTACACAGAAACATACATAATATGCCCTGTTCCACATTCTCTTTCCTTTCGTACCTATTTTGAAATGACAAAGTAGAGATGTTGCAGTTTTTTCAAGGATTAGAGGTTTGCACCAAGGTGCTAGTTCCAAGGTGGCTGGAGTAATCCGTCCTTTCTCCTCTAGACAACCACGACGTCATTTCCCTGAAGTTGTTTGAACTGACGGTGGAGAGGACCCCAGAGGAGGAGAAGCTACATCGAGATGTGTTCATGCCCTCGGTGGACAATATGAAGCTGCCCGAGAGTGAGTGTGGGGACCCGGGGACAGGGCCCTGTGGGTAGGGAGGTGGCAGCAGTGCCGAGGGGGGTGGTGACCGGCAGACATCCTCTGAAGGAGGGATGCTGCGCCTGCCTTTCCACTTTTCCCTGCTGCCAGTCAGCAGCAGGTGACTGCCTCGTGTTTAAATGGAGCCATCAGGGAAGGGGGTGTCTAAGCCGTGGCTCTCAGGAAGTAGGTGTCAGAAATGGCAGGAGGCAGGGTATGCCGGATAGCATGGTTGACCCTTCCCAGTGGGCGGGCTTTGGGTCTGACTCGCTTCTCTCTTGCTGCCTAGTGACAGCCCCACCACAGCCCCTGAGTGGCCTGGCCCTCTTCCTCATCGTCTTCTTCTCCCTGGTGTTTTCCGTGTTTGCCATTGTCATTGGTATCATACTCTACAACAAATGGCAGGATCAGAGTCGAAAGCGCTTCTACTGAGCCCTTCTGCTGCCGCCACCTGTGACTGTCACTGCTGAGGTGTGGCCTCAGCTGGCCTGGATGGGGACCGCGTTCTGTCACCGCAGCTCTGGACGAATGCAAGGACCCTGCCTTCCCCACTCATCCACAGGGACATCTGGCTCCGGCCTGGGACACTGCTGAGATGTGCCTTTCACTGTAGTCCTTCCACTGCAGAGTGAGGAGGCATGTAGGGAGCGTGTGTGGCTGTGACACCCAAGTGCCAGAAGTGGGGAGCCAGGCCGACGGCTCACTGCCGCACAGAGCAGGGAGCTGCTCTCGCCTGCAGGGCGTTCGTTACTGGGCTTTGCTCTTCCCCCGCCAGGAGCTCCGAGAGATCTGTGTGGAAGCTTCTTCCCCGCGTCCTTTCCTCCCTCTGCTCGTCCTCTCACGTGCAGCCTGAGCTGGACACCTCTGCATGAGGCAGCTGAGCACACTCGGGCTTCAGCAATCCTCCCTGGTGGCCCTGGGGCTTCCTGCTTAGGTGTGAGGCTCCAGTTTGCAGGGGCTGTGGGTGTGTCACCATCCTGGGTTCCTCCGTGCCATGTTTGGCTGGCAGGCAGCATGCAAGTTGAGAGAAACTGGAGAGCAGATTGTCCATGGAGCTGAGGGTCCAGGTTTGCCACAGAAAGTGGCTTTTGTCGTGTGTCCCTGGACCCGCTGGATCCTGCTTACCTGCATGTTCTGTTGATCATGATTTTGGGAAACCTGCTTGAATGTACTGGATGTGTAAAGAAGCTTTCTTCTGACTACCTAGCCTTGGATGCCCCCACCCACCCAAGAGGAAATTTGTCTTTTGCTTGATGGAGAAGAAATAGTTGCTGTTCTCATGTTGTAAGCCCAGAACCAAAACAGCCTCCTCTCCACCTGGAAGAGCTCGTGGTTACTGAGTAGCACAGCCAAGTGCTGTCCTAGGTGTTGACCCCTTCTCCACTGCCTTATCTGACAGGGGTCACATGCTGCTAGGCCTACGGTATCCCTGTGCCTCCGTACCTGAAGGGAAATCTTAGAATGGCTGGTGGAACCAGTCATGGGCTTGGCCCTCCTCTCAGGAGTGGGTTGCGAGTCCGGGCCTTTTTCTTGTGCTTCAGGCCCATCGCTCTTTCTCTGCCTTCTCCTGCAGGGGGTCTTGGCTCTGTGCAGTGGGAGCGGCCCTCCTGTTAGGTTCACCTCTGCTTCAGGTCTGCCTTGCCTCATGCAGGCCTCCTGGGTGCTGCAGAGGTGAACAGAGGTGCCCACTCAGTGCCCCTTGGTGAAGAGCAGCCCCAGAGAGCCAGGGGGCAGGTAGTGACCTTGCATTTGGCTTCCAGACAAGGGAGAGTGAAGAGGGAAATGGTGGCTTTTGTCTTGTATGGTGGAGGATATAGTAGGGTCATGAGTTGGCAGGGACGGCATGTCGGGAGGTGACAGATTGAACTGTGGGGCTTCTGTGGTTCCAGCTCTTTATTACCGGGAGGCCATTGATTCTATTTTATTTTTTGATACTGGGGATCAAACTCACAACCTCACACTTGCCAGGCAGGTGCTGCTGAGCTAAATCCCATCCCTGGAGATCTTTTAAGGAGAGCAGGGAATTGGGAAACAGAGTCTCCACTCAGCATAGGGGACCAGGCTACTGTCGTTAGAAAAATAGGTGGCCCAACGAAACCACCCAACCTAGCATTTTCTACCCTGCCCTGGCCCTTGCTTTTTGTTGTAGAAACAAATGCTTTCCGTGGGGAGTGGGGCCGTGCATGGACCTGGGTGCTGTAACGCTGGTGTGCTGGGTGAGGGCCAGGCTTGGTCCTCTGTGTGGAGAGCCATCCCTCCCAGTCCTCTGGTGCCGAGAGCCTGTTGGCATGGAAGAGACCCAAGCCTAGCAGGGGCACGTCTAGGTGACATTGTCCCCATGAGTCCTTTCATGCCGTCTTCAGCCCCCCCAAAAAATAAATGACAAGGTGGGTCTGCTATGAAACTTGTTTATTTCAGTGGGAGATTGCAGCTCTGCTAGTCTTGGTGGACACAATAAGCAGAATACACCTTACCCCTTATGTTTGCCCTTTAAGACAGAATGGGCACTACAGGACACTGGGGGCAGCTGACCTTGGGCGGGAGAGCCAGGCAGATGTGCAAGATCAGTCTCGGGGAGCTGGAAGTTCTGGGAAGATAGCACCCAGGTGCTGGTTAGGCACCTGGAGGAGGGGCAGCTGGTGGTCTGTCACAGGCTGTAGGCTTGGAGCCTGGGTGGCAAGGGGAGCAGGATTCGCACTGCTGACAGTGGGCGAAGTGATGAGGTTGTATATTTTAATGGGAGGCTGCATCCGGAGTCCAGGGCGGATCAAGCTCATGGCCAAGTAGTTCTGGAGAGAAACATCAATAGGCTGAGCCAGCAGCCTGAAGGTGCCCTCCTCAGCGGTCCCCTCCCTGAGGTGGCCACTCACCGGAGCTGAGTAGATAAATTTAAACAGCATAAATGCTATGACCAGCAAGATGAAGAAGCTAATGATTTTGCATCGGTAGCGTCTGCAGAGACCGAAGAATAGGTATCGAACAGGAGACCGCAGCCACATGAACGATTTACCTGCACGTCTGTCCATGCCAGGGGAGATGCCAGAGAAAGCAGGGGAACCTCTGCTCAAGGGATCCAGAGCAGAGAGAGGGCTTTCCTTCGGGGGTTACCCACCCCAAATCTGTTCTCTCCAGATCATAACTGAGCTACATAAGGGCTGCCCCCCAACCCATGGACAGAGGAGACGGACACTTGGCAACCCTGGCCCACAGGCCTTACAGGGGAGGGTACAGTGTGGGATACTGGTTGGGATCCGACTGGCCACGACCCGCTGGCCTGGCCAAGGCTTCCTTCTCTGATAGGACCTCCAGCGTCATCTTCACCTTGCCCTGGGACACACAGGTGAGGGCGAGATCAGCAGGGGAGGCATTGGTGGGACCGCTGTCCCGGACCAGGAAAGAAGGTGTAGCTGAGGGCCCCGGAGGCTGCTGGAGCTGCTCACACCACACAGCGGTCCTGCTCAAGACACCTTCCCCAGCTCCTACCGCTAGACGCCACTTGTCATCCTGCTGGACCTGGCAGGGCCACCAGCCCGTCACAGTTTTCTTCTTAAAGAGGGAGAAGCGCTTGTGTGGGAAGAAGTAGGGCCACTTGGGCTCGGCATCCAGCATCTGGAGGGAGCACTGCTTGGCGTGCCGGGCTGGGCGTGGCATGTCCGACAGGTCCAGCTCCAGCATCCCTGGGCCAGAAGCCAAGCCCCGTCAGCAAGGGGCATGCCCCGGCCTGGGTCACCGCCCCGAGCCCGCCTCACCCAGGAAGTCATCACTGGTGAAGGTGTCATTGTCCCAGATCTGGATGATGAGCCGGGCTGGGAACTTGGTAGATGTGGGGTCCAGGCTCCATATGTAATCCTGGAGGAGGGGGGACATGTTTCAGCCTTCAAGGGTGACATCCCCTGGATACCTGCTAGCACACTCCCCAGGAGTGATGGACTACCAAGGAGGTGTCTGGCTGCAGGCAGTTCCTAACTCTCACTTGAGCACAGAGGGGTACGGGGAGCTCCTGGGCCCTGAGGCAGCACCCTCCTTCCCCGGCACCTTCTCGCTCTCAGTGCACATGCGCTCTGCCGCCAGATAGTCCATAGTGAAGATGAACCGCCAGTTGAAAATGGCCTCCCCGGTCACGGAGTGGTAGTGGATGTCTGTCTGCTGCATGTCCTTCTCCAGCCCCAGCAGCCACCTGAAGCCAGAGTCCTTTCCCCTTGGCTCTCATCTGGTCCCGTCCCCCCCAGGTGCGGTGGCACCGTAGCACCACCCGTCCCGGGCAGGGCACCCCCTGACCCTTTGATGTAGATGTCACTCATCTTCTCTCTGCTGAGCGCCTCGTCCACCAGGTCCACATGCGCGGTTTTCCAGACGACGCAGCGCAGCTCATACCTGTAGCCACCGCACTCTGAGGCTCTGCTGAGGAGCCGTGTCCCGCGCAGCCTTGGTGAGGGGGCGAGGCCTGGGGGCAGCCCTCAGGCTCTGCCACACTTGGGGTTCCTCCCTTCCCAGCAGAAGATTCCTGCCACTCAGCCTTTGAGGGCAGTTGGGGTGATGGGGAAGTGGGTGCCACTCACCTCTTAGGCTTCCTGGTGCTGATTTTCACAGGTGGGCCAGGGGGCCCCAGCTTTTGGGGAAAGATGTCCACCCACATTTGCACCTTTCCCTAGAACCAGACGGGTGAGTGCTCATGGCACTGGTAGGACAGCCCGTGGTCTTGCCCATGTGCTGAGCTGTGTCCCCACCCCACGGAGGGCAGAGCTGCTCTTTTTCCTTTGGGGTGGGTGAGTATCCAGTTCCAGGCCCCAAGGATGGTGCCATGATGTCACCTGTGACAGGTTGGGAGGGTGGAGGGCACCCTGCTAGGTAGGTGTTCCTGGACAGGAGCTGGAACTTAGAAGAGGTTGGGCTTGCTTTTTTCTTTCTTTCTTTTCTTTTTTTTTTTTTTGCAAAAGTGGGGGTTGAACTCAGACCCTTGTTCTAAGCGCCAGGGAAGCGCTTATTTTACTGAGCCATCTCCCTGGCCCCTGGGCTTTCGTTTATTAAGCAGCATAAAAGGAAACTGGCTGCTCAGTGAGCTCGCTTATCGTCAGGTGAGCACAACCGTGGGGTATGGAGCCAGTCACCGAGGGTTGGGGCCCAAGAAAGGACGCGGAAGAAATGGGGAAAGTCAAAGGACGGTAGAGCCAGCCTTGGAAACAAGAATATATTCCGTCTTTCCAAGCACTGGCCCTAATTTTCCTCTTGACCCTGGGTCCTCTCTCGAGAAAAGAGGGGTAATGAGAATGATTATTGTAGCAGAGGACTTTCCTCTGGAGTGCCCCTCAGCTGGAGAGCTATGCAGAAGGAGCCCACGTGGCGGCTGGAGGGCACAGAGTAATGAGGGTGCCCTTGGGGAGCTCATCCCTGTGTGGGGCTCACCAAGAAAACAGCCTGCAGTTAGCAGCCAGAGCAAGGCTGTCACATCTGCACCGTGACCTGAGGTGCCCCCTCTCCTCGACTAAGGAGATGGAGGAGCTGACTGCCAGGCTCCTTAGCACTTCCCCCAGCAGATGCAGGTGTCCTTTTCGTTCTAATGTCCTCTATTGAAGTGACACCAGTGGGCCGTGTGCAAAGCATAAGTGTCCCACAGGAAGGGGGCAGCCCCAACAGTCTCACCTGGTCAACGCCTGGCAGGCTGTCACTGTACAGTGTGCGTGTCTCCACATGCTCGGGTACCAGCCCCTGGGTGTGCAGGATGTACAGTGCCAGCCGCTCCTTCTTGGGGCCCAGACCTGGCACAGTCGGGGCTTTGGGCTCTGGATTGGAAGGAAGGGACCACGAGGCCATCAGCCCTCAGGTGCTCTCCCCAGCCCAGCCCAGAGTGGACAAGTGGAGAACGGGGTAGGCTGGCCTCTGGCTCCTGTCCTCTCCCTGCCCCCACCCGCAGGTCCTCCCTCGGAGGACTTCTGGGCAATGCGCTGAGCTCACCAAAGTTTTGCAGATTGAACTTTTTCCCCCTGTATAAAACAGAGTCTCCCTTGGGGTCAAACACTGGAGGAGGCAGCCCTTTCCGCTTGGCATAGCGCTCCAAGAGGTAGCTCGGGGGCATCTGGTCCCGCCACCTGAAGGGCCCTGACCTGCAAGGCGCATGAGAGGGACAGAACAGTAGTGTGGGTCCTGGGGAAGGATGACCCTGCGCTGTAGAATGCAGTGGTGGAAGTGTGGGTGGAAATGGGGCAGGTCCAGCCAGGTTCCTGCCTCTCCAGGGTGCTGCAGGCTCCCTGCTAGCCTTTCCCCACCCCCCTTGCACAGGCCCCTCACTGGCAGTAGGACTTGGAGAGCCCACAGCGAGCTCCAAAGCCAGACAGGAGTCGGTTCTCAAGGTCGATGACTGTGGTTCCAATCTCATCATCCAGTAAAAACAGGTCAAAGTCTAGTAGCTGGATGTGCAGGTCCTTCTCCAAGGGGATGGTACAGGTGAGCTCGAACATCCTAGAGGCCAGAGGCCGTGGCGAGCCAGCACCTCAGCCCAAGGCCCCTTCCAACCCGCTCCTGCATGGTGGAATCGGGAGCAGGTGCAGCATAGGCTCTCTGCCATCAGCAGCCCCCAGGCCCAGCTGGCGGCAACCTGGTGGCCTGGGCTGTGGCCTGCACTTCCTTCCCTGGCAGTGTGTGGCAAGGGAGAGCCAGGCCACTGGTCCACCTGTCTTCCCTGCTGAGCACCCAGAGCATGAGGTGGCTGCTAGAGCCGCCTCAGCATGGCAGGAAGGGCAGCAGAGGGCAGGGAAGGGGCAGCTCACGTGCCAAAGATGGGGTCCACGGTGTTGGGCTTGTACGCGTCCCGGCTGCCAAGCTTTGTGGAGCCCAGCTTCAGGATCACATAAGGGTCACACTAGGGGTGGACAGGAAGCGGGGACTCAGTCCAGCTTGGTCAGGACCAGTGGGACTGGGGCAGCAGTGAGCCCTGGCATGGAGCTCGGGCGCTGGCTCCAGAAGGGGCTGGGCCCACTCTTTACCAGGCCGTTGTAGTCCTGGGGTTGCAGGTTAATGGCTCGAACCACATACACCCGCACCAGGCACAGCTGAGGAAAGTCTTCTCTCTCTGGCCAAGCCAAGAACTGGCGCGGGGGCTTGGGGGCTTCTGGATTCTCAGGAAAGGGGTAGATGCGAAAGAGACCCTGGGGGTGGGGACAGTGTTGGGGCCCAGCTCTGCAATCCCCAAGGAAGGTTCCCAGCCCAGGACCATCAAAGAGGATGCGGGGACAGAAGGAGGTGAATGGACAGAACCCCAGAGATAGCAGTAAGTGCAGCAGGGGCAGTGTGTAGGAGGACGCAGGCCAGAGGAACACGGTCACCCGTGGGGACGCACACCTTGAACTCCCCTGCCACAGGGCTGTCCACCTTGGGCCGTTCCTGGTAAAGCTTGAAGGTGCGGCAGAAGTCCTGCAGGCCCTGGAAGGCGGGCACCGCCTCCAGCTCGGAGTCGTACACCTGCAGGGCCGGGAGGACCGAGCCTGGATCAGGAGACCTGGGGACCGCTGGCTCACAGGCCCTTTCCAAAGCATCTAATGCACAGTCTGCTTATCTCAGAGGACAACAGAGACACCCCTTGAGGGCTTCCAGAGGGACCAAGGCTGGATCTGCGACCCCTTCTGTGGGGGGTTTCATGCCACCCGAGGCCCCTCCACACCTTTAGGGTGTGGTAGTCTTGGTACTTGTACTTTGGGGACTTTTGGTCATCGCCCGTGGCCCAGAACAGCTTGCTCCACCAGTCCACCTCATGCTCATACTCATCCTGGGAGGGAAGAGGGCGCGCTGGTGGGCAGGGGATCCCCAGCTCCCGGGACCCACCAGATCCTGTGTCTAAGGCAGGGCCTACTTCACCTCAGCCTTGCTGAACTTGAGCCAGAACTTCTCATAGAGGAATCCTAGGACCTAGAAGGCGGGAGGGCAAGCAAGGTGAGGCCAGCAGCCCAGAGCTGGCACAGGGACTCTGATGTCTTGGGAAAGGGCTCCGGCCAGGGTCATTTCCCTAGCTCTGTGAGTTCTGGAATCACCAGGCCAGGCTTGGGATGTGTGTGTGGAAGAACAAAAATTCCGCTTCTGGAGCCCTCCCACAGCAACTATGAGGCAGTTCCTCAGGGCCTGAGTCTCTGGATTTAAAAGCCCACATTGATTGTCATGCACAGTCCTGACTGAGGTCACACTGGGCACATTCACCAATACCCCTCCTCAGGGACAGGGCTGTTCCCATAAACAGCGGGAATCACTTGCCCACCTTCTGGTGCTTCTTCATAGACAGCACTGTGTGGAGAGACACAGCTGTGAGCTTCAGGAGAGGACAGGCCAAGGAGGAGGGAATCCCACCCCCAGGAGCCAGGGCCCTTCCCCACACCCCCAGGGGCCTAGGGAGGTGAGTGGGCAGTGCCGTACTTGGGAGCTGTGGGGGCAGATAGTCCCGTGCCCAGGGATCACAGAAGTAGGGCTGCAGGAAGTCGACGATGGCCTGGCCCACGACAGTCTGCTGCCCGAAATCCTGGTTGTCCAGCACCTTCAGTATCAGGGGCTGCACGTAGGACTCCTCCTTGGGCATGAACTGCCACCAGGGAGAGTGGGCATGAGAGTCCCAGGACAGGATTTACCTCAGCCCCATCCCAGGCCTCTTACCACTGTAAGCAGCAGCGCAGACTCTGGGAAGTTGGGGTTGGTTGGGAAGTCCCTGATGGGCTCTGTCCTCAGGGCCTCGCCCCCACACTCCACCAGCAGCTGAGGGTGGCGTGCTTGCTTCATGTTGCGGAGGCCCCAGGCCAGGATCTGCTAGGACAGAGGAAGGGAGGGCAGGGCCAGGCAGCACTTGGAGGAAGGCCTGGGGAGGGGACACAGCTACCCAGGAGAAAGGTGCCTCAGGGATCCCACAGGGCAAGGCACTTGGCTGTGTGGAGAAGCCAGTCTGAAGGAGCCTAGGTCTCTCTCCTGAGGAATGTGCCGCTTGTCCTTAAGGCCTGGACACTGAGCTCCCTCCCCATCAAGAGGTGCCTGCAGGCCCCTATCTGCTGCTGGGCCCCTTAGGTGTCACCAGCCTCCCCCATGAATTCCTGAGGTATCTTCTGCCAGGACCCACCTACAGAAGCGGATTTCTTGTTATCTGCTTTTAGGTTACCTGATTTCTCAGGGGTCCTCACTCTGTGTCCTAGAGAACTCTATGGCCAATCAGTGGCTCTACCCTGTGATGTCTCAGCTGACACTGGACATCTCAGGAAAGTCCCATGACCTCTTTCTGTGGACCACCTCTGGCCTAGCATGAGGACCAGCTCAGTTGCCTGAATTTGAAGAGCTCTCCTATCCCTGGAGGACCCAACTGGTTAGTAAATGTGTGGCAGGGCATCAATTACAGTGTGGGGATCTCACATCCTGGCACTGGGTGTCAGGGAGGGCTGAGCCTACATTGTGGCTCTGTCACTCAGTCCTGGTCACCATCATGGAATCTGCTTTCTCAGAGCCTCCATTTTATTTTGAGACAGGACCTCACTATGTATATAGCCCAGGTGGGCCTGGAATTTGCAGAGATCCTCCTGCCTCAGCCTCCTGAGAGCTGGGATTACAGGCATGTGCCACCAAACCCAGCTCCATTACCTTCCTCAAAAGCATCTCTATTGCATGGGTGGCTGCTATGGTTTGTGTCTAGTTGTCCCCCCAAAGCCTCATGTCTTCATGGGGTGGGGACTTCTAGAGTTTGAGATTAACTCATGATCCACTGGGATTATGGGTGATCCAAGGCTGGGATTATGGGTGTACTTCCCCCAACCTGGGGCAGAGAGCCTGAGTGCAATTTAAGAGAGCCAGACGGTGTTGCCACTGTTGCTGCTACCCTCCCTTGGCTCTTGCCACTGTTGCTGCTACCCTCCCTTGGCTCCCTTTGCTCTTTGCTGCTGCCGCCGTGAACTGAGGCTCTCTGCCCTGTACCGCTCTGCCTTGGAGCCAGCTGAGTATGGACTGAAACTTCCGTAACTGCGAACTGAATAAACCTGTCCTTCCTTCATTTTGGGTGTCCAGTGTTTGTCCCAGCAATGAGAGGAGAATAACTGAGACAGTGGCCAAACCAGATGTGACCACAAATGCTACAGCCTCTTGTCCACTGCCCACCTCGAGGACTTGCAGGAGAGCGACTTAGGATGCTGCAGAGCCTCTGCTCTCCTTTTCCCTGCCCCTGCATCCCCGAAGAGTTTTCTCAGGGTGCAAGCTTTAGGTGGACAGTCAGGAGGACCCAGCAGAGAGCTGGGAGGCTCCACACGCCTGGGCAAACCCTCGCCACCCTCACCTCGATGGCTGTCTTGCTCATTGTGGGCTGGATACTCTTGGGCAGCGTGTAGACCCCATCTTTCCAAGGGACGCTTAGGAGCGGCAGATGCTTCTCTCTCAGCTTCTGGAGCACAAAAGCGGGGCAGGATGCATGAGGCTCTGTGAGCTGGTCCTGAGCTCCACCTCCCAGCAGAGCCTTACAGGGCTTGCCAAGCAGGCCCCTGGCCTTTCGTGGGGTGTGTGGTAGGGATGACCCTGCTGGCTGTGGACACCTGTGGCTCCCAGTACCTCCGTCTCAAGGATCAGCTCACAGGATGCCAGGATCTCACCCTCTTCCTTCTCCAGCTCTTTCACAAGTGGGTGCCACCTTAGGGGCGGCAGCACCCAATTCTTGAGGTCCAGCCGGACCACTGGAGGCCACATGCTCCGTCCCCACAAACTCTCCTTTCCCTGGGAGGGAAGAGACAGTCACAAAATGTGGTGGCCAGCATGGAGGGGTCTGGTTCCCGTCCTGGATCCACCGGTGACACTGATGTTTGCACAGTGCTCTCTGCACGCCTGGCCCCCTGCCCCCAAGGTGCTTTCCTCTAAAATACAGCCCTGCTTGCCTCCAGCCAGCCCACTGTACCCGGGCATCGCGCTGCCACAGTTCCAGCACCACAAGTGGAGGGCTTTCCCGGGTGTCTTGGGGGCTCTCATGCAGCAGGAGGTGCTGGAAGATGAGTGTCTGGGCCCACGAGGGCACTGAAGAGCTCGGCAGGTGCTGGGTGCACTGGCTGTAGTTGAGGAAGATCACGCGCACAAAGGGCTCTGCGGGGCAAAGCTGCCTGAGTGCAAGCCAGTGAACCTTGGCGTCCACCCAGAAGCCAGGACTTGGGCGCCTTCCTTCCGTGTGTGCTCCGTGCTCCCTGCAGAAGAGGCCTGGGCTTCACAGTGATGTGATGGGGCCGTGACTACAGCAGCCAGTGGTCCTGCAAGGTGGGCTGGAACCTCCAAAGGAAACGGTGCCCAGCAGCTGTCCCTGGAGCCCTGCCACCCACTGTCCTGGCTCCTGCAAACTGCTCCCAGCTCCTGAACCCGGCAGTGGGCCTTCCTCACAGGCTCCTCTGTATCCAATCTCAAGTGACATGTGTCTCCCAAGCCTGATTCTGTCTCTTCCTGGGCCTTTCCCAGACAGACTCCTCCCTCCTCAAGGCTCAGCTTCACCACAGGGTGAAGTCCCTCTGACCCCCATTCTGATTCCGCAGGATTGGGTTCCCAACTCAAGCACAGCCCCCACCAGGTGTGGTGAGACACAGCTGTAACGCCAGCACTCGAGAGAGTGAGACGAGGTTGTGGTGAGCTCGAGGCCAGCCTGCCTGCACAGTGAGTCCAAGGCCAGCCTCAACTGCATAGTGAGACCCTGTCTCAAGAAAAAGAACTGACTCTACTTGTAGTCTTTGTTTTGGGGTCTTTCCCCTGCAACTGAGGCCAGGAGCTGCTTGGGGGAGGGGTCTGCATGTCTGTCATATCCTTCCTCCCAATACTTATTATACGGCTGAGTGACTTCCTCGGGTCTGGGGGGCAAGGGCTGAATGACAAGGGACATTCCTACCCTGGAACACGAGGATCTGGTTGGACATCAGATTCCGGGCCTGGTAGATGTAGCAGAAGAGCTGGTAGTAGTGGGGCTCTGGTGGAGAGGAGCCATGTCTGTCGCCTGCCCACAGGCACACCAGGCTGTCCTTGGGTCCTGCCCTCCAGCAGCTCCCGAAGCCCCAGCCCAGCACTCACTGTCCAGGGTGCAGTAGATGAAGGGCATGCTGGGCAGTCGCCAGTCTTCCCGGCCAGGCCTCCAGGAGTCCTGGACCTGAGCCCAGGACCACGCCTTACTCTCGTCCTTCTTAGGGCTGTGTTTCAGATCCACGGCCTGCACCCAGGACAGCCTCCCCTGAAGCCCTTGAGTGCTTCCCAGGAGTCTTCAAGCTGCGCTCCTCCCCTTTGGTGCCAACCACCGTGTCCTCTCTAACCCCACCTGCCAGTGGCCCTCTGGGAATGGGTCCCTGCTCCTGCAGGTGTGGCTCACGAGCCACGGGGCTTTACCAGGGAGCCCTCCAGGAGGAATATGGGTGCCACGCCCGTGTCCTTGTTGGGGGCCAGCCTGCGATGCCAGCAGCGGCGGCGGAAGTGGCTCTGGGGCTGCGGGTCCAGGTGGAACGTGGAGCCCAAGCTGCCGTACTCCCAGCCCTCCTTTCCCTCGCTGGCCAGACCCTGCTGTGGAGGAAAGTGGGCTGTGCTCCTGCCATCACTCAAGAGTTTGCGTCTGTGACCCCGCCAGGCCCTGCGGAGGGAAGGCCTCACCATCTGCAGGAAGGACACAGTCTGCTCCTCACGACCTAGCTCCTCATGGTTCCGGAAGCGCATGCGCACCCAGCGCCGACGGCGACACGAGTGGTAGTTTTTTTCCACTGAAGTCCAGACCCGAGGCAGCCCCGATGGTGGGATCCCCACGCCGTACTCCCAGCCTGTGGGCGCCACCAGGGCTTGTGGGTCGTCGGGTGCCTAGAGGCCAGGGGCTTGGACCAGCCCAAAGGACCTGAGACAGGCAGTGCCTCTTGCACAGTGTCCTCCCATCCTCCAGACCAGGGAGGCATGGTCACACTGTCACCTGACACCCAGGCCTGACAGCCTGTGTTACAAACAGGGAAGGGACTTGCACACAGCCACACAGCTGAGAGCTCGTTTGGAGCCTGGGCCGGAGCTCTCCATCGTGTGGCTCGGCTCCTTCGTGGAGCCACCTTGGGTAGACAGAGCTTCAAAGACATCTGCTGAGCCACACGCTGGGCCAAAAGACAGTGAGGACCTGCACTGTCTCCACTCTAGCTAGGGCCATGTGGGGGGAATGGGTGCAGTCCTTGAGTCCCGAGGCCAGCGATCCCCAAGAACCCAGGCTCATCCCACCTGAGAGCACTGGGCATGGTGGAAAATGCCTATAATCTCATCATTTGGGGGGCTGAGGCAGGAGGATCACCATGGGTGCAAGGCCAGCCTGGACTACACAGCGAGATCCAAATAAACACACCAGGTGGGTTCACTGCTCAGGGTTGCTGAAAGAACCAGTACCCCAATCTGCTCAGAACCACCCCGTGGCTCGCATGATTTGGGATCCCAGGCCCTCCCGCCTGCCTCCCAGCCCTGCTCACAACACTGACCCTCACTGTCCACCGCATGATTCAGCTCCACAGCCCAGTCCTTCTTAAAATGCCAACCCTGCGGGCATGTCACCCTGTCCCGGGCCTCCGTGGGCTGTCCATTCTGCAGGGACATGGGGACAAGGAGGAGGAAGGAACAACTTGCTGAACCTGTCTGTGACCATCTCCCATGGTGGCCTCTGATCCCCCAGGCCAGACGGTGCTGGCTATGTCTGCTGTCACCCTGTCAGGACTGGCCTTCCTGGACTGTCACCTGCTCCCTCCAAGTAACAGCTACCATGCATGAGACCTGCACTGTCCTGGCCCAGTACAGTAAGGAGTAAAATGACATAAGATGCTGGGTCCAGTCCCTTCATGTCCCATTTCCAGTGCTCAAAAGCCACCTGGGGACAAGGCAGAGGCAGAACCATCCCATCACCATCACTGCAGAGCGTCTGGTGCCAGGCCCACCAGCCCCTGATCTCCTGCAGGGCAAGCAGCGCCTCTGGAAGGAGCCAGAGAGGGAAGGCTCTTTCCCTCCCTTGTTTCTGATATCTTACGAATGACATCTCTACCTGCCCCCTTGGGTTCAATGTCCCAGTGAGGGGGAAAGTGCCAGAGTCTGACAACTCACCCAGGGTCCCCTAGTGAGTAGGGGTCAGGGCTCAGGCCTAGCTCTTGCCTCTCCTCCCCACCTGGTAGCCTTGCCTGACCCTCCCCGCTGGGTGGCTTCAGCCCTGCTCACCACATCAGTGTTTGGGATGGCAGAGGGTACCCAGGTGCCTTTGACATTGCGTTCCTGGTTCTCATACACCTCCTCCAACACCTGGCTCTTGTTGATGTCTATGTCCAAAAGGAACCTGGGGACAGGAAGAGTCCACATCTCCCTGAACTTGCAGGTCTCCCTCTGCTGGCCTCCTGCTTCCTTACGAGGCACCCCCGCCTCAGGGCTGGTGGGCTGTGCCACATCTTAGGCATCCAGACCCAGAGACCAGGCTCTGTGGCTTTGAGCCCACCTCTGGGTTGCCACTAGCTGGCCCTCCGAGGACACAGCAAGTTCGCCCCATGGGGTATGTCTGGGGTGTACAGGCTCGAGGCCTGCAACTCTGGTCTTACCTTCTCTGAGGCTCCACCATCCAGCTGTCCTGCCAGTGCCACCCAGGGGGCGCCTTGAACTCCGACTTGGGAAGGGCCTTGTGACCCATGACATCTGAGAAGTTGGGGCATTGATAGAGCCCCTGCGGTCCCCAGTGGCCTTTGTACTTGGCCTGGTTCTCATACTGGAGGAGGGGAGGCCCTGTCAGTGTCTGCTGTGGGTGTCGGGCCCCACTCTGAGCCCCTAGCCTTAGAAATGGCTCCACCCCATTGCACAGGTAAGGGAACAGAGGCTCAGGGGTCCACGCTGCCCCAGGTTGCTTGGCTAGCAGAGCTGGATGGACATATGTTAGAGCTGACACCTTTAATGGCACCTGCGGGACCAAGGGATCCCAGCCCCAGTTCCTGAACCCCATCCTAAAAATCCCTCTCCAGCACCTCAGCCTTGCACAAGGCTGGTTAGACACACAGTTGTCCCTTGGTGTCTCAGGGAACAGGTTCAAGCCCCCTAGAATGCCCAATCCCTGACTGCTATTGTCCTTGAGGGGCCTAGTATTTGCATACAACCTGTGACCACCTCATATCTCCTTTAAAGTCTCCTTTGCCTGACTTATCATACCAGATACAATGCAAATGTGAGGTAAACCATTGTCACACCACACCATTCAAGGAAAAAGCTGCACATGTGCCCCACAGACACAGCATCGCAGGCCTAACTTTATTCCCCACCCACAGCTGGAATCTGCAGATGTGAGCAGCTGACTGTATTGTATTTAGCCACACACACAGCTTAAAACCAGGTGATGTCTTCATTCAGTGAGTTCAAAAGGCTGACACGCTAACCTTCTTCCTTCCCTTCTGCCATCAGAGCAGGACTGTGGCTCCCCATAATTCTGCCCAGCTCTGAAGTCCCTGTCCTTTGCCGGTCTGAGTCCCCCCGCTGCTGCCGCTCACCGTCTCTGCATACACCACCATGTCGCCCTGGCGGAGCAGCTGCAGGTCCTTGCTGTCAGCGATGTTGCCAAGCCACATGCAGACCCGGAGGTGGGCTGGTGGCGCGTCCTGCTGTCCTTCACCCTCTGGGTACTGAGTCAAAGGTCCATCCCACAGGGCACAGGAATGTGGGTGAGGACACACCCTCCCCAGATGGGTCACACCACCCCTTCTCCCTGAGCCCTGGCAGCAGAGGTGCTCACTGAGCCGGGCGCTTCTGAAGCCACAGCATAAACTGGCTCGGCGGGAGAGCACTGGGCTCATCATGCAGGGTGACAGCAGCACCTACTGTGTGCTCACTACACATGCTAAGGTCATGGACCCTCGCTATACCACCAAGGGGGTGGGTAGGCATGGTTATCACCAGCCCCATTCTACGGAGGAGCAGACTGAGGACACAGTGAGGACTTGTCCCAGTCACTTAACCCTCAAGCCCCAGAGTAGATTCGATCTCAGCAGAACAGGTAGGAATCTCATAGGCAAGAGTGAGAGGCTGAGTTAGACCCTGGAAAGGGCCAGGGGCAGAACAGGTGGGACTGGGGAAGGCCAGGGGCTATCGAGGAGGTGATACCTCCAGGAGGCAGAGGGATACCAGGGAAGGTCCAGACCTATGACTTTAAATATTTTGGAGATCTCTCAGTCATGGCTCAGCGGGGAAATGTCCAGGGAAAAGACCAAGTGGTGGCCACAAGGGCAATGGAGGAGGTGGATTTGGGGCCCACTTTGGAGAATCATGGATGTGGCACCAGCCCACAGCCGAGGGGGGAGACCTTTGGCTGTCTCTAGGGAAAAGGACCAAGGAGACAGGAAGCTGCCACACCCTTGGGAGGGCACCCAGGGCTGCTCTGGGACTTCAGGGATCCTCGCTTCCCACCTGCAGCAGAAGGGTCTGGATCTTCCCACAGAACCTGCCAGAGTGTAAGGGCCCGGCCGGGGAGAAGACAACAGTGTGGGCGGGCACCCGGGCGAAGGCCACATGCCGCTCCTTGGCCATCAGCCAGATCATTACATCCGGGAGGCTCATCTGGGGCTGGGGATACAGGCAGTCAGAACTCATGAGGCAGCTCCCAGCTGCCCCCCGTTGCCCTGCGGCCAGTGCCCACCTCGGGGAGCACAGCGCCAAGGCGGCGCAGCCAGCCCTCCACTGTGGCCACCATGTCCCTGGGCTTGGCTTCCTTGGCCTTCTGTGCAAGCTCCTGCAGGAGGAGGCTGCGGAGTTGCCACCTCTTTCTGTCCAGTTTGGTGGCTTTGGGCTGACCGGTCATGCAGGGCAGAGGGCGCCTGTGGCCAGGACAGAGCAACAGAGGCTGGGCTAGGCCTCTCTCCCATTTCTCTTGTCTCTAAGTCCAGTCCTATCACAGGCCACAGTGCCCTTCGAGCCCTGAGACCCTGCCCAGAGCATAGCTGGTCTGGCCTGGGAACTCTACCCACCATGTGGGTGGATGTGACCAAGACAGGGCCCACCCAACCTGGGAAAGGCTTTCTGGTGGCCTCCAGACAGGCAACAGAGCAGTCACCAGATCTGTGGAGATCCTGACAGGTATTTATGATGTGGGTTTGGGAGGAGGAAAATGAGGTGTGGCTGGGGTGTGGGGACAGTGCTGGACAGGGGTGGCCTGGTCCTGTTTGCAGGAGCCCGGGTGGCAGGCTTGGGCTCTTTGAAGAGCAGCCTGGAGGTGGCCAGGGCTTGCAGGGCCCAGCCCCCGCCCACCATGCCGGCTACCTGCAATCCTCCGCCAGCTCCCTCCGAAGCTTCTCCCACTGGGGGAGCAGGGCAGGGTCCCTTGGGTTCCGGATGGACTTCAGGGTATCCAAATTGGCTTTCTGGATGGCAGGAGAGAAAGGAGAGAGCCGAACTTAAAGCGGAGGTCACCCAGCACAGGGCAGGGCTGAGGGTGATTTCAGCCAGGACCCAGGACCTTGCTGGGCATTGGTCCTGGCAATCTAAGACTGTGCCGTCCCCTGGCCAGGCTGCGAGACCTCCACTTCCTGCTACCCGGCAGGAGGAATGGGTAGCGAGGAGGACCTAGGATGTGTGGGCCTAGGAAGCAGTGCTGAAGGGGAAGAGAAACTCAGCAGGCCCTACTTCCCTGGAGAGCAGGGCAGCCCGTCGCTGGGCTGTCTGTTGAGTCTCTGTGCCCAGCGCTGCCCCTGTGTGGACGCGCAGGCGCAGTGCTGTGAGTGGGTAGGGCTGCAGTTCCCACGCCTCTGTGCACTCACCAGGCGGTCCCTGGTGAACTGGAGCAGGTTTAGGCAGTGCATGCGGAAGCTGACATCCTCCCAGCTGGATGTTATGGCCACCACCGGCTTGGTGTTGTACCAGGGGATGTAGTGATAGATGTTGCCTGGGACATAGGACACATGGTGGGGCAGAGATGTTGGGGTGGCCTCAGAGGTCTCTCTCACTCTGACCCCCTTCTTCTTTTTTTTTTTTTCTTCCCCACTATGGTGGTTGACTCCAAGGCCTTCACACTGAGCTACAACCCTAGTCCTTTAAAAACATTTTGTTTTGAGACAGGGTCTTGCTAAGTAGCCGAGGCTGGGGTCAAATTTGTGATCCTTCTACCTCAGCCACCTAAGTGCTGGGAATAAAAGTGTGCGCCACCATGCCTGGCTGTGTCCCCTTGAAGGACTGCCCATGGGCTACTTCATTCCTCAAGGATGTGACCTGCTGATGACATTAATGGGACCCTCTCTGGATGTTGGCAGGGGCCTAACCTATGTGCTCTGATGACCCCAGCTCTCTCTGCACAAAGTCCCTGGCCTCCAGGTGGAAAAACCCACCTTAGAATGGCCCGGAGGTCATAACACAGGTGCCTGGCTCCAGGCCAAGTTCTATACCTCAGGGGAGACACAAAGGCAGGGGCTGTCTCCAGACCAGGTGCCCCATGAGCTAGAAGAGGAAGGGGTTTGGTCAGGGCAGCAGCCCCAGAAGATCTGCCAGTATAGAGGTCTGGGAGGGAAGCAAAAGACCACAATGGTAGTGCAAAGCCAGGTGTCACAGTGCACGGCCATAATCCCGGCACTGTAGGTGGCTGAGGCAGGGGCATCTCAGTCCAGCCTGGTTTAGCAATTCACCAACTTAGCAAGATCCTGTCTCAAAACAAGAACTTTTTTTTTTTTTTTTTTTTTGGTGGAACTGGGGATTGAACTCAGACCCTTGCACTTGCCAGGGAAGCTCTTAATCCACTGAGCCATCTCCCCAAGAACATTTTTTAAAAGGCCAAAATGTGGCACACACATACAGTCTCTGAAAGGTGACAGCTAGAGACGAGAGACAGCACCATGTGAAGGTGGAGATGGGGAGTGGGAAATGATCACTTCTCAGATAAGAGACATTGAGGACAACTGGGAAACTGAAGGCAGGAGGGAGGCACAAAATCCTAGCACTCAGGAGGCTGAGGCAGGAGGACTTCCAAGCACTTGAGGCCAGCTAGGACTACATAGTGAGACCCATCTCAAAAAAAAAAAAAAAAAAAAAAAATCCAAAATCAAAACACACAATTATATGCGTTAAACAGTGCACCAAACAAAACGAGGTAGTGCATGCCTGTAATCACACTGAGACAGGAGGGTCACCATCCTGAGTGACATAGCCAGCCTGAGTGACACAGTGTGAACCAGTCCTACAAAAACCAAAACCCATTTTTAGCCCTCAGCAGGAATCAACGTGCCTCTGATCTGCAGCTTGTCTCCTCCATTCCTGTGGGAGAACACATTTCTCTCACTTCAAGCTGCTCACACTGGGGATACAGCTCAGTGGCACAGCACCTGCATGCCTACCTGGCAAGCACAAAGTCCTGAGTTCAATTCCTGCTACCAAAACAGAACAAAACAAAAACCTATTAGTCTGTGGCACTTTGCACTGCACCCTCAGGACCAGGAAGGAGGCAGGGAAAGAGCCCATCCCTGGGCCGGAAGAAACCGTCCCTGGCTTGAGGGTGGGAAGCCGACTACCTGTGAAGGCTGAGAGCTACCAGGCAGAAAGTTCAGAATGGAGCCTGTTAGAGAAACGTCAACGAGACCACAAAAAATTCCTGAGAAATTCTGACGAAAAAACACTGAGCAGTTCAGAGGCCAGGCATACCACCTGCCCCACTGAGCCACACCTCGCCAACCACCACTAGTGAGGAAGCCAAGTGCAGCCTCATCAAGAGATGCCACAGAGAGTCTGCTGCTCCCCCCACTCTGAGCAGAACAGCCCAGAGATTCCACCGCAGGCCGAGGGCTAAACCATAGCATAGGCTTGGCCTCAGTTTCCCTGGGGAGTTGATTCCAGGATTTCTTTAGGGTACTAAAGTCCACAGATGCCCATGGCCCATGGCAGAACATTTGCATAATCTATCTATCTATCTATCTATCTATCTATCTATCTATCTATCCCTCCTCCTGTATATGTCAAATCCTTTCCAGATAATTTATAATCCACCTAGGACAATGCAAATGCTACATAAATATCTATTGCATGTGTTGTTCAGGAAATAATGACACAGGAAAAAGCCTGCACGAGTTTATTATAAATCCCGCTGGAGGAGGCCCTGGGGATTGAAACCAGGGCTTCTGCACAGAGCAACATCCCCAGCCCATTTCTTATGTCGAGACAGTCTCATGAAGTTGCTAAATTGCTCAGGCAGGGCTGAAACTTGCAATCTTCCTGCCTCAGCCTCCCAGAGTGCTGGAATTAGAGATGTGCACTTCCACAGCCAGCTCTGACACAGTTGTTTTCGAGTAATTTTGGCCTCCGGTCAGCTGGATGTGCGGAGCTGGGGGTGAGGGCCCCTGTGTTCTCAGGGCAGGGTGCCCTGCAGCAGTGACACAAGCAGCAGCTCTACCTGCCGCCAGGCAGATGCGCGAGCGAGCGAGCGACGGTCCCAAGTGAGCTGACAGTGAAGGCTGAGGCCCTGCCTGCCCTATGAGCCTCACTCCATGGTTTCTTTCTTATGGGACTGAAGCAGAAACAACAAAAGGGAGGAGAGGAGAGAGGTTGCCCTGGGTGGGGAGGGGGCAGAGCACAGGGTCCCCCGGCCTTTCAGGATCTGAAGAGATGGGTTTGCTTTGGGATAATTAGGCACCGCGTTGGACACTGGGGTTTGGGTACCTCTCCACAGATGTGTTGTCCTTGAATTAAACATTCAACTAAGAAGTAAAAACATTGGAAAGGCAAAAGAGACTATCAGTACACATAGTGCAGCAGGTGCCCTGGGGACCAGCCAAGTGGGGAAGGGGGAGGGAGCTGCCGGGCTGTTCTGAGTCCAACAGTGATCATGGCCTTCACACAGTATCTTGGGCATCCCAGGAATACCCAGAACATGGCTGGGAGAGACCACAGAGGAACGACACAGGAGAGATTTTAAAATATGGAGGGTAGCTGGGCGTGGCGGTGCATATGTGTCATCCCAGCACTCTGCGAGGCTGAGGCAGGGCACCTGCAAGTTCAAGCCCAGCCTGGGCAACTTAGCAACCTTGCTGTTGTGAAATTTAAAAAGGGCTTTGGTTGTCGGGCACACAGGAAAAGGAGAAATCATTTACAAAGTGGAAAATCAGAATTGGCCAGAATTGTTGGAAGACACAGGTCTGGACTCTGGTACTGAGTAAAGTGTTGGGAGGGTAAATAACAAGAGACCTATGACTGCAGTTCTCAGTAGGAGCTCGGCCGAGAGGCACTTTTTCTCTTCTGCCCTTGGACTGCTTTCAAAAGCAACAGGGAGGAGGAAAATCAGTCTGCTTCCAGCCGGTGAAGACTGTCATGTGCAGACTCAGATACACAGCCAGGCTGCCAAAAGCAACCCCAGCCTCTGCAGGAGCCCTGCGGGTTGCCAGGCCACAGAGGCACCCGGAAGAGGATGTTGGTGACAGGCGACTGCGGGAAGCACAGCTGAACACAGGGAGTTGGGGTTGCAGCAGGGCCAGAGAAAATGTGCCCAAGAGACCGACAGAAACAAGAGCCCAGCCAGGGAGGAGCACAATCCAAACCAGCCACACAGGAGAGCACATGAGGAGCCCAGGGTCAGCCCCTGCCCGTGCCCCAGGGAGGGCACGGGAGGAAGACTGGCAGAAGAGAAGTCACCCAAAGAAAGCCAAGAGGCTCAAAAAAGGATGGGGAGAAAATATCAGACATAGATGGAGCCCCAAGGTAGGAAACTAATCAATGGAGTAGAATAGATATTTTAATATATAACTTAAGACAGTTTGAATGCAGGGAATGTAAGGTAGTGTTTTCCCTTTTTAACAAACGGTGCTTGAATGATAGCCACATACAACTTAATAAAAAGTGAATCATGGAGTTAATTATAACAATTGAACCTATAAAATCTTTACAAGAAAAAATAGGAAAAAATTTTCATAACTGGGTTAGGCAAAGAGTTCTTAGATGTGACATCATAAACAAAAAAAGTAAACTGCATTTTATTTAAATTAAACATATAGAATCTGAGGGCCAGTGAGATAGCTCAGTGGACTAAGTGCCTGATTAGGCAAGCACAGGACTGGGGTTTGATCCCTGGCACCACATACCACACACACTGGCCTTGCCCCAGGGTGTGCCGAACCGGCCACTGAGACTGGGCATGGTGGCACACGCCTGTAATCCCAGTGCTGGGGAGGCTGAAAACAGGGGGATCACTACAAGTTTGAGTTGTGCAGTGAAACCCTGTATCAAATATATATATATATGTGTATCTATATATCTCTATCTCTATCTATCTATCTATCTATCTATCTATCTATCTATCTATCTATCTATTCAAAAGGCATGATTAAAACTAGGAATAGTGGCACACACCTGTAAGCCGAGCACTTGGAAGCAAAGGCATGAGGATCACAAGTTCAAGGCCAGCCTGGGCTACATAACGAGTTCAAGGCCAGCCTGAACTATAGTTAGAGACTGTCTCAAAAAACAACTCTAGGGGCCGGGGAGATAGCTCAGTAGAATAAATGCTTGCCTGGCAATCACAAGGTCCTGGTTCCGAGAAAACAAACAAACAAACAAACAACCAAAACTCCAAAAACAAAACAAAACAAAACAATCTTTACTAAGAAAATAAGACAAGCCACGCACTATTAGAAAATCATAGCTGGGTGTGGTGATATATTCCTGTAATCCCAGCACTGTGGAGGCTGAGGCATGAGGACAGTATACAATTTGAGGCCAGTCTGGGCTACAAAATGAGCTCAAGGCCAGCCTGAACTGCATAGCCAGACCCTGTCTCAAAAAAAAAAAAAAAAAAAGAGGAAAATCATATACCTGATGAAACACTTGTATTTAGACTCTACAACCTACTCTGGCAACTCAGTAGGATAAACAAACCAATTAAAAAATGGGCAATTTATCTGAACAGGCACATCA